TATTTAGCCAGCCTGCAGACTGCAAGTCCTCAGGAGATACAGTTACTTCTGCAGGACATATCGCAGCAACATGTGGTCACCCGTGCTGGGCCGAGCGGGTAACCCACCTCTGCATTTGTTAGCACAGAACCCGCTGCAGTCTGAAGCCTGTCTCCATGGCAGCAGCAGACATGGAAACATTGTAACACGCGGTCTTTCTCTGAGAAGGTTGACTCTGTTCACCTGGACAGTCTGACTGCAGGTTTCCAACCTTCTCAACAGGAGCTGAACCAGCAGCACTGATGAACAACAGGCAGCTTATGATCATTAGTACGCAAACTGTCACAGCCGCTGATCCTTGCATGAGTCCACAGAGAGGTGGGGAATCCCTCCAATCACAGCATTGTAGAGCTGTGATTGGAGGGATTTCTTCTCTGTTATTGTGGCACCATTCCTGTAACAGAGGCCCCGCCTCCATTCAGAGGTGTAAATGGCCTGCTTGACTCAAACCAGAGCGCTCCCTCTACACTACAGCACACTGACAGTGTGTGTGCTGGGCCTTGTATAGACAGTCCCATCTCTATTATTAAATGGTGGCTCCTTGGTGCTGCTCACTCCACCATCCACACACAGCCTGGCAGTACAGACTGTGCTGGTTAAACTCTCGCCTCACTGTATTCTGACTAAGCATAATTAATCACATGAATCATGGCTCTGTAACCATGACAGTGTTGGTGACACGTTTCTGTCACACACACATCTGCTGCACATCTGCAGACACATTCAGACAGAATCATGTTCATTTTTCATTCAGCACATTAATGAATGAATATCTTGATTTTCTCTGTGATTAACAATCCAGACGTGTAAGCATCTGGATGAGCTCTGCTGCAGCCCTGGGTATTTTAAACAGGAGAGGCTGGGTGTGTCTCAGATGGTTGAACTTTAACCTCAGTCCCACGTTCCTGCCTGTCCTTGCTGCTGAATGCCATCGATAAGATGACTCACAGAGGTTGGTCTGATGTTTAGATCAGAGTTTGAACTCTCCTCTTTAGAAGTATCCCAACTACAAACATGCCAAACCAGTGAGCGTTTGTTATCTACCCTGAGCCCAGTTCCTTATGTGCACCTGTTCAGTGAAGGTGATTCTTACTCAGTACATTAGTAACACTGTGACATATCAAATGTATTATAAAGTGTCACTTAAAAATATGCACACGTCTATTTTGCTTTGTCACTTATGCGCTCAGTCCTGTTGCACGTTTCCAAAGACATCGTCCCAGCCCCGATATAACTCCACCTGAACAGCTGAGATACACATCCACCCACATCCACCCACATCCACAGAGTCACTGTGGTCTGATTCACTCTAATTTGCACGGCTGCAGTAAAAACCAGCTTTGTTCTCAGCCTGAACTCTCGTGGAGTCTATTTAAGTAGTCTGGAGGAACAGTTTACATGCATCTTGAAGGACATTCAGAATTTGGATGTTGGATCCTTTTTGTTCCAGTCGAGATGATTTCATGCATCCCTAACATACTGTCAGCCTGCAGAGCGAGAGCGAAGTGCTCTAATAGGGTGATATGGTACTACAAGGTCATTAAGATAAGATGGGGCCTGATTATTTAAGACCTTGTATGTGAGGAGCAGGATTTTGAATTCTGGATTTAACAGGAAGCCAAAACAGGAGAATCTGCTCTCTTTCTAGTCCCTGTCAGGACTCTTGCTGCAGCATTTTGGATCAGCTGAAGGCTTTCAGGGAGTTTTTAGGACATCCTGATAATAATGAATTACCGTTCAGCCTGTGTCAGACGGCCGGTGTTCAGCGGCCTGAAAAGTGCGTCAGCCCACTGGGGAAATGCTCGATTACCAGTCAAGCCTGGATGGAGACGTAACCAAACAAACATGGAGGAAACTAAAAGAACTACACAAACAGAAACTACATAACATTTTTTAAAAAGAACATTAAATAAATAACAAAAGCTCTGAAAAATACATGAAAAGCAACCTTAACAGTAAAATGTAACAATATTTCTTTCATATTAGAGGCACAACCTTTAGAAGCATTAGTCTCTACATCACACTTATGAAAGGCTCCATAATCATTGTAACTGGATGTAACGTAACACGGACCGGTCTGACTGAAGCAAACATAAACATGAAGGCCAGCTGAGTCCCTGCAGGACGAGCGTTCAGGAGAAACGGCTCTTAATAATGTTCAACCTGCTCAGACTAATGCAGAGGGCTGGTACCCTGAGTCCTGACTGAGGCTGTGGCTCGTCTCTGGTTTCTGGCTCCTGTGTTACACTGTTGGCCGGTGCTGAGGGAGGTTTTATTGCCCTCTAACAGCAGATATCCAAAGTTCAAGTTGCCAGCAGACCATCAGCAGTTACTCATGCACTCTGTGACCCCGGCTCCTTTCTGCAGAGGTTAACCAGGTCTCTTAATAAGATGCTACAGTATTCTCACATCATGGTGTACTCACAGCTGCTCTGTAAAACTCTGACTTCTGGCTTCTCGTCTATGAATTCAAATGTGCTAAAAGTCCTGTAGCACATTGTTGAGACAACACACGAATGAAAACAAGGCAAAGGACAAATGTCATATTTCTCCAGCCTAAGACGAGTTGATCCTTTCTAGGATCTCTATTAGCATCAACCTTTTCTTACTCAGGCCGAGGTTGTTTGGGAACACGACCTACCCACAGCTGACCAGTATTTACTTACCGTGTCACACATTCATGACACAAACAGCACATCCATGTTTGTCATGAGGCGTGGCATCCACAGTTAGCACACTCGTGTGTGTGTGACATTAGTATGGATAAACAATGAAGAACTAATCTTTTTTGGATGTCTTTGGTACGCAGCTGTAGCTCAGGTGGTAGCTCACCTGCCTGTCGTCACTCCTGGATTCCTGGAAGCACCCAGCTGGAACTCCACCTGCAACCTGTGCTACGCTCCTCTCGATGCCCTTCGTGCATATGACCTGTGCACGATAAAGTCTTCTTAAATATCAGCTTGTTTTCTCCTCTGAGTTTGCTTTTGGGTGCGCTCACACATACTTGTGACACAAGCAGTGTTTGAAGCACCTGACATACACGGCTCTGATGGTCACTGGTGTCGCTACAGGAGATAAGAATGTGGAGAGTTTGGAAGATTGAGCAACCCAGGAAATGCCCAAGGTCAAAGGTCGTCTTCTCCTGGAGTGGGAAGAGATGCTTTCCTGAGGCCGAGCTTGAAGATGGAGAAGCTCAAAAGGAGACGAGAACAAAGACAGCAGATATTTGTTGAGCGATTTCGCCCTCTGCATGCATACAGACACATCTCTCTTTTCAACAACAAAAAAATAGCTGCTAACGGTTAGGAAGGACAAATAATTCCAGCTTTCAGTGAGTCATTAATATATTTCTTCATTTGTTCCCTCTTAGGTTTTGACAAACTGTAAAGTGACAGGAAGTGGATCACCCAGGAGCACATGTAGTCTCTGTGGATCCTTACAGAAGCCATCAGTGAGGTGCCCCTGAGAAGAGGATGTACACACTGAAAATACTGGTGATGCCAACACAAAGTCCAGGGTGGGGCCGTGGATAAGAAGCAGACGTGTGTGAGATATACTCACAGTGGTTTCTTGAGAGAAGGATGGAGGTGAGCTCAGTGGAAAGACGCCAACCATCCAAAGCAGAGCCTGGCAGAGGCTCTGTGAGAGAAACTGGTGTATCGCTGGATTAGTGTCAGTTAAATTCTGCAGCAGAGCGTGGAGTTGAACTGAGTTACTTCCACAACAAACATAGTGTGTTAACACGATGCACCCTGTCAGCGTCCCTACTGCGGCCCTTCATCTGCCGACCGTGCCCTGTTTGTCCACAGGAACAGTACTCACGAGCTTGTTTTATTTCATGTGATAATGTAATATGATGGACACATGCTGCCTGTATTCATTCATCTCCATGCGTGTTGTGGGCGTGGCCAGTGGCTGTGCTGGGTTGTATCCATTGAAGGCAGGTGATTGATCTGGTGTGCTTATCGCCCACAAACACTGCTGTGATATTTGTCTGTGTGCAGCTGCGACATGCTGCAGCCTAAAGGCAGAGTTGTGCTGCTGAGGCCGGAGTGATGACTGGCCGTCTGCTTACAGGGTGGCGGCGCGTGTGAAGTGTAACTGACTTGTGGCATCGCCGGCTCTGGACTCTGTGTTTTCTGCCTTTTGGACACTGGACTGTTTTATCCTTTCGTTGTTATCGTTGTACTGATAAATTATTCTTTAGAATTTTATTGTGTGTGTTACAATAACCTATTTGTTTCAACACCAGTCTGTTAAAAGCACAGCTGAGCTGTAAAGTTGTGTTTTAGCCTAAACGAATCACTTGGACAAAAGAAAAATGTGTGATGTTCGAAGAAGAAGGAGGATTTGAAGTGAAGCAGCTCATGAAACGCTGGAGATGGTCTGTGCTTGCTGGTGTTAATCTCCATCATATGCTGATTTGTGGCTCTGTGACCACGTGACCCGACCTCCTCCTTCACTCCTGTCATTATTACTACTGTGGAAAAATCAGAGAGTCAGTTCAATACAACGTGTCTCAAAAGGTGAAGCAGACACAAAGATATCGAAGAGCAACAGAAAAAGCAAAGTTCAGAGTCAGAGAGACTTTATTTAAATAACATATTTTTAATTTGTTAATCCCAGAGGAAACTGAGTTGTCATAGTAACAAATATACATCAAACACTCATATATGAAGTGAGTGTAGAAACAGAGACACTGATAGATATGAAGATCTATAGATAAATGGGCATAAATATAAAAGGCGAACAGTGGCAGGGTGCAGTTTGTTAACAGGTAACCAAACCCAGTTACTGACAACTACCCGTCTGAGAGGCTTTTAAGACCTCAGTCAGAGCTGTAACCACAGAGCTTGAACATGAAGTTCAAAGCAGGTTTGACCTCGACTGTCATTAGAAATACAGTTTTGTGGCTGCATTGGTTCACAGACTGAGAACCAGACAGTGGTTAATGTCTCTGCTCCTTTTTAGCCTACATGCTTCAGCCTACATGTGGCGATGAGCTGGAATGTCTGGAGCGCTTTGGTGACATCGGAGTCTGTCTGTCAGACTCAGACTATCTCTGCATAAAGGACGACGAAATCTTGTCCGACTCCATCTCTTGCATCTCCTGTCAGACACCAAATGTGAGCTCAGATTTGCGACTTGAGCTTCGCTGAGAAAAGCTGTGTGGAATTATCGATGACACGTCACCAGGTGAGTGATCTGCCGACAGAAGATGGTCCCGAGGAGCACGATGAAAAGGAAATACGTCGAGTTGGACTCAGTGGATGTGAAAACAGACCGACGCTTCTGTGAGACAAACCAAATGTCTGTGATTGTTTCCGACAGCGGAGCTGGAGCTCCGTGCGCAACGGGACGCAAACCCGAGGGCGACACTAAGACAGAGAATGGCACAGTTGGGAAACATGGAGATGGTGTTAAGCACCAGCACGCTGACCCGTCACCGCCACCGATTCCTTTTTGTGCAAACGCAAAGTCGGAGCGTTTCCACGAGCAGCACGAGGTGTCCAACACGGAAAGCAGCGCAAGCCTGCAGCCGGACGTGGATTTGCGCGCTAGTGATAATTATCTCGGGGAGACAAGTGAGCAGGATGATTATGAAGTGGACGATGGTATAAGTTTGGTGCTTTCTGATGACTGCATTCCGTGCGCCACGGAGGACGAATCCCATTATATTACCACGCACGAGATCCAGCTCTCTGAACTTTCTGACCACGAGGAGGACTACGAACTCGGAGTGGGCTCTTCCACGAGCTGGGACGTTGAAGAAGACAACCGGGTTTACTCATTTGCCGATTACGCTTCTTTTGATGCCGGGGGCGCGGCGGGCGCGAGGGGGCACGGCCGCCAGCCTGGCTCTCAGGGCGCAGCAGCAACAGTCAGCACTCTGCTGGAAAGTGATCCGCGCGAAGCGGCCAAATTCACCAGCTCAGATGAGAGTGTGTCAAAGCCCGAGCAGCAACGCTGCAGTGGCAACAGTGGCGGACAGATTCACCTGTCAATCAGAACCACCTCTCGAGCTATAAATGACCCCAGCAACATCCAAGAACAGGAAAAGATTCTCTATCATGCCAGGCGCTCCGGAGATGTGAGTCGCTATGTGTTTAGGGGAGTTGATGGGAAGGCAGAGACCTTGTGTGACACGGCGAAGTGTTTGGTAGCAGCGCCCGGGCGCGTACACTTTGGCGGCAAATTAAGGGGGAAAGAAGTCCCCGAATATTCAAGCGGCACGTCCAGTGCTGTCAGCGAGCTGGACGACGCTGACAAGGAGGTGCGCACTCTGACAGCCAGAGCCTTCAAGAGCCTGGCGTATCCTTACTTTGATGCCATTCATTTCAGCACCTCCAGCGAGTCCTCTGCATCAGAGCATGCCGTGGGGATAAACAGGTGGTCCACGTTTGTGGACCTGAAATATGGTAACATGAATGTGGACCAAAGTCTTGTGTCTCATCAAAGCTCAGCGGCCTCGTTTCAAATCGCCAAGAGCATAGACAAAAGGGGTTATAAGGGCATCATCAAAGCGCCCGCCAGCGAGACATTACCTCCCCACAGCGCAGCGTCATCTACAAAGAAAATAGAGCTGATGGGGAAATTTGGTCAGGGCCACAGCGGCGTCATAAGGCTGACAGAGACGCTGAATTTTCGTTGCAACGTTAAATCGGGAATTCCTGCGGGAGAACCACGCACTAACTTTGCAGGATCACGTTCCACGGATGAAGTTACCAACGCAAGCCAGAGCAGGGGGGGCGGCAAGCCGCCCTCTAAAACCATGGAAGACACGCACAAGAAGGCCGTGTTTGCTTCGAGTCTCATCAAAAATGTCATTTCTAAGAAAATGCAGTTCGAGCAGGAGCGCAAGATGGAGAGAGGCGAAATAAGCGAGCCGCAGCAGACGCCCTCTCCCAGCTTTCTGCGCCAGGAAAGCGACGACGTCAGAGCGAAGCACAACTCCAAGCTTTCCGACAGCAGCTCGGACTACAGCATAATGCGCGTGAATGAGTTAGGGGACATAGCGGATGCCAAGAGCGACTCTCGGAAGCAACAAACTGGAGTTGATACTAAAAAAGGCGCAGTGGACTCATCCAGAAGCACGCTGCATCGCAGCCAAAATAGCGCGTTCAGATGCTGGAAGGATGACGAGCTAGAATTTCAAAAGGATCCTGAAAACGATCAAACACCAGAGGACACGCTGGCCGAGGGGAGTCTGTACTCGGCGGGCAGCAGCAAACTGAAGAAAATGGCTCATTTATTTGTGCCAAATATCCAAATGCTGCCGAACGAAGGCGAAGCCACGCAGCAGAGCAGGAATTATTCTACGTGTGGACACGGACGTGGAGCCAAAGTACGCTCTGTCGCAGACTCTGCGACCACATCCAAGTCTCCAGAACTTCAAATTAACTTGAGGCGCGTCAAAGACGATAGCACCGAGCCGTGCGCCGTCTCCAAACTGCGCGCTCCTAATTTAGGCTGCAACATCATCCGAACAGATCACGCCAAATCCCACGCGCTTGCTACAGCTTTGAAGGGTGACTTTTCAGATAAAGTTCCACATTTCATGGTCCGAGACATTCGAGACAATAAGGGGAAGCTGCAGACTCCCATTTACCAAGTGAGAGACGTGCGTAAGCTGGTTAAAAGTTCGTATCACTTCGTTTCTTTGGATAACAACGAGAATAAAGCCCACAGCGCCTCCGCTGACAGACATCCAGAGCAAAACAAGCAAGTGCCCAATCAAAGCTTCAATACTGTGTCGCCTATAGTGATCAAGTGCCAGTCTGTGAACACGAGCAGTAACGGAAAACAATGTGGAAACCTTCACGGGGCTAAACAGGAGTCACCTGACGTGGACAGATCGTCTCCAGAGGGCGTCAAAAACGCATCAAGGGCAACAGGGAGCGCATCTCTAGGCCCCTCAAATAATGCCTCGCAGGGAAACACCGACCGAAGTGAAAGCAGAATATCTACAAAGAGGCAAGAAAAAGTATCGGACATCACTGATAAAAAGCCCGAGTCACAGGTGCCAAACCAGGCGGCTCTGCAAAAACTGCAGGCTGCCGTGAAAACCATGGAGCAGCTCTATGTATTTGAAAAGAACGAGTGGAAGAGGAAGAACGAGGCTCGGCCGCTGACAGACAGCCACCTGCTTTCACTGATAGCGTGTGAGGAGCATCCAGGACACGGAGAGGAGACTGCATGGACGCCCAGCGCAGACAAGTCTGCCAGAAGAAACTCCCAGTCCAGCGCAGACAAGCCCCCAGCAGGACGAGCAGGTGACAGCCTGCTGAAGCAGGAGCAGAAAGACCCACTCAAACCCCGCCCCACATCAGTGGGCTGTGATGACAGGCCTAAGTCAGTGCAAGCCCCCAGCAGTGTCAAGGCCTCCAGAACTTCAAAGACATCCCAACCGAACACCGTCACACAAACACCTTTCAGCACCAAAACCTTCGTCCCCAAACCGCCCGCATCATTCAGCATCTGTGAGAGACGGTCAGCTGGGAACGAAGACGCCGACGTGAAGGAGGCCGACGGGTTTGCACACGAGTTTTCAACTGACAGTGAGAACTACCTCGCTATTCCAGTCAAGTCTCAGCCCAGCAAAGGCAAACAGCCACCTGATAAAGCGTCCGTCTACACGTTCACCCGGTCACATCCAGCCACACCTTCAGGACACCTGGAACCTGGGCTCAGAGGGCACGAGGAGCACACAGCTAGTTACTCACCAGAGATCCCCTCAGCTACTATCTACCACTCTCTGCCACTCGGGATGCCCGCCAATCAGCCACAGGTCTACTGCTTCTCTCCAGCAATCACCCCGGCTCCCACCCTGGACCCGTTCCAGGCCACCCAGAGGAAAATGCTGCTGGATCCCAGCACTGGCAACTACTACCTGGTAGACACACCAGTGCAGCCTGCCACCAAGCGTCTCTTTGATCCAGAAACGGGTCAATATGTGGATGTGCCTATGCCACAGCCTCCCATGACACCTGTGCCCATGCCCATCTCACCTTTAGCCCTCAGTTCTGGCATTTACGGCCACACGTACATGATCTACCCGGGTCTCGTGCCGACGCCGTCAGTGATACCTGCCAGGGCGCTGCTACAGTCGCAGATGTCGGTGCAGGCAGAGGTGGACAGCAGCGATAAAAGCTCCTCGCAGCAGACTGAGGGCATGCACGTGGAGAGTCCTTTCTACATGTCCACCGGAAAGTCTTCCCAGGTAGCCTCAGGTGTTCAGGCTGCTGCTAACAGGCCACAGCAGGGCCTCTCTAGCATCAAGCAGCCTGTCATCAGCATCAGCTCCCAGCAGGGGCCCCGGATCATCGCCCCCCCCTCATTTGACGGGACGACTATGAGCTTCATGGTGGAGCACCGATGAACGGCAGGTCGTCTGGACAGGTGAGTATCTGACTGCTTCCCTTTTACCGAAGCATGTCTGAGGGCGCAGTGGAGAGTTTTACATAACTAATCTCAGAGGAACCATTTATTTATAGGATACACTGAAATATAATGTAGCCTAAAAGCTGCAAACTGCAAACTATGGAGACAGTAAGTCAGTGAAATGATCCGTGCAGTAGTTCTGAAAACATGGTGACAACAAAAGGAGGAGACAGAGGCTCACAGCACATCACATGTAGTTACTGCAGCTGATTTTATGGATGAGTTATCAAACATGTTTCTGCACACCATCGTGACCCACACTGTTCTCACCTGTCCGTGCTCGCAGAACAACGAGGGCGTCTCATTGCCAGCCTGAGGAAAAGAAAATAAGAATAAAAACTATAAATCAGAAAACAATATGGGGACTGTTTCACGCTTTAATGAATGTTTGCATTTCCTAAAAATGATGCTGACACCACACGTTTCACTTAATGCATGAAGTCAGTGATCTAACAGGATGCTGTGCATCATATCTAACAGAAGAAGAAGAGATGTGGAGTGACTGTAAAGCAGCTGCAGCTAACTAACACTGATAGATATCCTGCAAAATGCGATATCACAGCAGAGATGTGGTTGGATCAGCTGTGTGTGTGCAGCCAGAGTGAAAGGTCAGGCAGGCATTCATGTGAGGATGGAAAAGCTTCAGCTGCTGCTGGGTATCAGCAGCCGGGCTGGCACATCCTGCAGGCTCAGGCTCTTTTTATAGGAGCAGCAGGGTGAGGTTCACGTGGCTCTGACGGCTGAGCGGTACAGTGAGGGGACATTTGGAGTTCCCCTCCAGGGTCTGACCCACATACTGGAGCGCTCACTAACGTTTTTAACGTAAACAGATAGTGTGCGGTGGAAAGGCACTCGCTGTTCTACAGAATAGGAGGAAAGCTGTGCGACAAATGTACAAAACTGTTGACGTGTGCTTAAGACTCTGACGTGTGTTTCTTTGTGTCCCCACAGGGCCGAGCTGTAAGCTGGACGGTGTGGACACACTCACACAGGAGCTGAATGAGCCGAATCATGTGTAGAAACCAAACTGTGAGGTTGTGAAATCGATGAATAGTTACTCTTGTCCAGCTGTTACACTTCCTGAACTTTGCAGATGTGCGTGACATGAAGTTATGAGACGTTATGTTCAAACTGAGGTTGCTGTTTGTGGTTGCACGTTGGAGTTTGTGCAGTGGGTCTGCTGGACAGTCCGTTTTCTTCTGTTGGAAACATGACAGGTTACAGAGCTGGAGCTTTGCTGAGGGTTTTTCTGCTGACTGTTTTACTGTGACGTGTTTAGTGTCCTGTTACAGATATACAGCAGAAGCATCAAACATACGTTTCTACCCAAGCTGATAATATTTTATACTTTTGTACCTGACTCTCAGCTTTGCTGCTGCACTGTTATCAGAAAAAGAGTCGAACAGTTTCCTCTCGTGCCTCACAAACACGACGTCTGTGTTTGTGTATTTGTGGAGGATAAACCACCTCTGAGTTCATTCAGTCTTAAGAGTGGACACTGCTGTTTCTTAGAGCTCCATGGTCCCGATGCTACAGTGTTGCTGTCTTCTCCTGGGGATTTGATCAGATTTGGTTCGTGTCATGTTTCTGGTTGTGCATGATTTGTCTTTCTTTTTTTAAACTTTTGCATAAAGTAGGAAATGTTTTCTATAAGTGTGAAAGCATTTCTGCACAGCAGGGACTCTGCTGCCTCAGAGCAGAGTCTCTGCTGCGCACAGTAAATGTTGAAGGTAGATGAAGGTGGTGGACAGACGGGAGCGTGGGAATAAAGAGGACCCGTGGATGAAACGATAAATGTGCAAAAACAATGAGGATGACTGTAGCTGTGCACAGCTACAGTGTCAGGTTCACTTTTACTGTGAAAACCGAATAAACAGGAAAACTCTGACTGACCCAGTTTATAACAACTAACAGTGTCACAGTTATGTTTCACGTGTTTAAATGCTATGTTTGCAAAGATAAGATGTTTACGTTGATTAGTGGATGCTAAAGGGGAAAGCGAGACGTGGAATAATTAAAGACATGAAAACTATTACAAATACTAACGTTTCTAAAGCTTCCTTGTTGTTACAGGACATAACTGTAGAATAATATTCCCGTCCTGAGAGCGGAGGACATTTATGGATGTGCAGTAAAATCAGATTAATGGGTCTGTCTCTCTGAAGGCAGTAAAACCAAACAACACGTTTTGGTAAAAATAAAAGTACAAATTGTGATCAGATGCTGTTACTGATGAAAGCAGCGATGTTTCCATGAAACCAGAGTGAAAGTAAATGTATCTGTGTCGGTTTTATGAAATCTGCTTCACTTTGTTAGTACGGCCGGTAGAGGGCAGCACTGCATCTTAACGCGAGCTTGTGACGCGCATAAAAAACGTCACAAATGCGCCCAAACAAAACGTGGACTCGAGGTGAGCCGCTCGTTCGTCTGTTCGTCGGTGCCAGGCTAACTGACCCGTTTTAGCCCACATTACAAAGTCATTTAAATGCCGCCAACGCGGCTCCTGCACGCCAGCAGCGCAGACATGACCACAGCGGTGTGTTCACAGACGGCTGACGACACCACGGGAAAGCCAGCTTCGGCGGAGGAAGACCAAAGCGAGAAGGCTGTGAGCAGTCCCGGAGACCCGGAAGACCCGGTTCTGTCCAAGAGGCAGAGGAAGAAACTGCTGAAGCAGCAGAAGTGGGAGGAAGAGCGCGAGCAGCGGAAGTAAGCTGTGGCGCGAAACACGCAGAGAAGTCACGGTGTTCTGGGAATCCATCCTACCCGTTGTTTCTACGCATGCGCACAACATGAAATTCAGTGGCGAACCTACCTTTGTGAATATAAGCTACAAACATACTCTGACGGGTAAAATTAATTGCCAGAGCGTCCTACCTTTGTGAATGTGAGCTAGAAGCATCATTTTACAGTAAGAATTCAGTGGCACGTCATCTTACCTTTGTTAATATCACCTAGAAAAATACTCTGACAGGTGAAATTACGTGCCAAACCATGCTACCTTTGTGAATGTTACTTACAAGCACACTTTAACGGGTAAAATGAAGAGGCAAACCGTCCTGGCTTTATGAATGTGAGCTACAAGCACACTCTGATGGGCACAGTTAAGTGGCAAACTGTCATACCTACTTACATTTGTGCTGGAATTACTGTGTGACAGCAGAAATGTGCATAAACTACTTACAGTAGGACGTTTTGCCAGAACAACGGCCTCCACGGGCCTGCTGAGCTGTTACACTGTGATCCACTGTGAGATGAATGTGCATGCGCACAAACAGGCGTGAGATTGAAAGCTCGTGCTGACCTTTGTCTCACACACCTCGCGTCCTTCGGTGTGTGTGAGACTGTCAAACAAAAGGATGCTGCTGCAGGACACCTTTATGTCACATTTCTCTCCATCCTTCCTCCAGTCCAAATATCCTCCCCTCTAAATCAGTATAGTTAATAATAGCACCAATGATCCAGTAATGAATTAGTTATCAGGTAAAACACAGACTGGCTCAGTGATCATCGGCTCTGACCCACTCTGTCCTGATGTGGAGGTTTGAGCTTCCCACAGTGGACCCAGTGTTCAGTCCATGCAGACCAAGCCCACACACGTGCTGAACATCATCCTCGCTTTCATGGCAGGCAGAGGCGAAAGGAGAGGAAGCAGCAGCGTCGCCTGCAGAGGCAGAATCACCAGGAGGGCGGGGAGGTCCAGAGCGCCCGCAAACGTGCGCGCAGAGAGGCCACGCCCAGCTCTCTGAGGCTGGTGGTGGACTGCAGCTTCGACAGCCTCATGCTGATTAAGGTAACCGGGTCAGAGGTGTAGGCGCTGCGACTGTGCTCCCAGAGTTCCCAACACACTGTCTGTTTCTTCAGGACGTGCGCAAACTTCACAAACAGATCCAGAGGTGCTACGCAGAGAACAGACGGGCCTCGCATCCAGTGCAGGTTGGTGCCGAGCACGTGACGATGATAACGATGTTACTGCGTTTGTTTTTGTGATGACGTTCTCAGTTGCTCGGAGCAGCCCGTGGACTCGTGTGAAGGACACAAGCTCGTGCTTGTATCTGCACGTGAGGACCAAACCCCCCCCACTGACCTGGCTTCAGTTTCACATGCACAGCATGAAGTTCACGGGTGGATCTGTGGCGTGTTTAGAGGGTGGTGAGATTCTGACACGTCTTTGAGCTGTTAGTGGTTACCTCCCTGTTTACCAACCACACGCTGTCCTAGCCTAGCTTATAAAATACTGTCCTAACTGTGCAGAGCTGAAAATACTTACAGTGCAGAAACTTTCCTCGAGCAATAAGAACACAGACGGCACTGAGGACGCTGCAGCCACGTGGCGTCAGGTAGCACATGTGCTCATGTTTACACACTAACAACCCTTCCTGGTCAAGACTTCTGACCACAGCTGAGCCAACATCTGGATGTGGATGTCGCTGCGACATGCTTTGCATCCTCTGGATGAGCTCCATGATGAGATGCTGAGCACTTGTTGGTCTCCATCCCAAACCGTCTCCACTGGCTTTGGGTCGAATATAAAAGAAGAATAACAGGCAGTAATAACAGTTTTTCATGTGGCGTCAAACATCTTCTAACTCCTTCTCACGTGTCCAGTTTTACCTGACAAGCCTAGGAGGACAGCTGAGACAGAGCATGGACGAGAAGGACAAAGGCTGGGTGAACTGGAAGGTGAGCAGTCACACGTCCAACAGAGGTCTGGAACCTGCACAACGTTATGTCTGATTTCCAGTTTATTAAGTTCATGAAACGGTGGCGTCACCTGTAGTTCACACCCACAGGATGCTCAGGAGTCAGCGTCTGCCCTCATCACTTTATATCAGCTCCATCTGCACACGATTAACATGAGGCCCTGCTTCAGAGCAGGGAGCTCCAGGCCTCGAGGGGCCTGCAGGTTTTAGATCTCACCCTGGGTCAGCACACCTGACTCACATGAGTTCATTTCTCATGCTGAGGAGGTCATTTACACCTGCAGGACACTCGAGGCTGGAGTTGGACCCCTCTGACTAACATTTAAACTTGACATGAGATGGAGGGCTGTGACGATGCATGGATTTTATTCTAGATACCAAAACTCATAACCCAGGAAACATGAATTTGAAACGTTAGAATAAACATGAAGTAATACAAATTACAGTCCAGAATAAAAAGCTTGATGATTGGGTCCATGAGCCGCTCCGAGCTGACGATGACCACGCTGAAGATGCTGTGTTCAATGCCAGCAGTTTGTCACATTGATTGGTTGGATGCTGTGTGCTGTGCAGGACATACACATTAAAACGGAGCACTACACTGAGGTCGTGTCCCAGGAGCAGCTGGTCTACCTCACCTCCGACTCTCCCAACGTGCTGACGGAGCTGGATCCACAGAGGGCGTACGTCATCGGAGGCCTGGTGGACCACAACCACCACAAGGTGTGCTCGGCTCCAGACCCGCTGTAGCGTGTGGGCGTGGCTGCGCTGGCTAACCTGTCGGGCTTTGTTTGCAGGGACTCACCTTTGAAAGGGCCACAGAGCTGGGCATCAGCCACGCCCAGCTTCCTCTGAGCAGCTTCGTCAAGATGAACAGTCGGAAGGTTCTGGCTGTTAACCACGGTAAGGAGTGGGAGTGGCTTCACCCGCTGCTCTTACTCAAGTTTAATGTGCAGATATTTAAAGGATTATGTTTCCTGTATTGTGGCTCCTCCCTGCTTTAGCCCGCGGAGCGGGGAGGAGCCTCAGCTGCTGCCTCTGTGGTCTGAACGGCGCTCTCTCCTGCAGTGTTCGAGATCATCCTGGCGTACCTGGAGAAAGGCAGCTGGCAGGAGGCCTTCTTCACAGTCCTGCCTCAGAGGAAGGGGGTGGTAGCAGTCGGCCGGGACGCCACAGAGCCTCCGAAAAAAGACGACGAGACGGACTCTGATTCTGACTCTGACCCAGAAACTACAGCGCAGACGGAGCAGCGAGCTTAGCGTTGGCGCCGAGCGGACAATGCGTTTGTTTTTTTACGAGATGGTTTAAAGAAATTTCTGTTTGTTGAAAGTTTGAAGTATTTATTGAAAAGATTTCTCAGTTAATGTTCGAGACGTGGGCAGTGCAGCTGTTTGCTGTTGCAGCTGACAGATGCCACAGGGCGCGGTCCCCTCTGTGCAGCCATCGATGATGATGATGCTTCAGTCTTCTACTGTTGGAGGACGAAGCACAGAAATGAATGTGAGCAACAAATAGATGATGACTTCCATTAAACGGGTCAAAGAGAGTTTGTTTTATTTTGTAACAAGCAGAAGGACGATGCATTTACATGATACGTGTTCAGGAGGTTCCCAAAGGTAACGGCTGTGATATGTTGAGTATAAATGTTAGTCTGGGTTGTAGGAAGTAAGCCTGGAAGTTGCAGTATCCATGGTAACGAGTAAATCTGACCCCAACCCAGAGGGGGGCAATGACCTCACCACAGACGCTCTAAGGAGCAGCAGACTGCAGCGTGTGAGAAGCTGCTGAGGGTTCAGACCTTTTCTTCTGCAGCAACACGATGCTGTGATAACTGTTTGCACTGCTGTGCACGGAGGAACAGCTGGGCCTCACCACTGACACGAGCACATTAGTTTTAATGGTAGGAAGTAGGATCTCGCACAGTCTGCGTCAGGACTGTTTATCACGCCATCGATCTCTGCAGCCCGAGCTTCACATGAACGCCGACCCTGCAGTCTGTTCCAGCCTGCAGGTCCAAACGAATAGAAACACAGATGTTCTGGGTCAGTTTGGTCCTCTTTGCTGTAACGTGTTCGGTGCGTCTCAGCACACACTGGCAGCTTTGTTCAACCGTTTCTTTCACTCGGTCAAAGGCAGCAGGTGGCAGGAAGAGCTAATCACGTCTCTGTGCAGAGTCTGTTCCAGCCTGTACACGTCCTCCCCCACCTGGGGTCACTGCTGTGTGATCACTTTTCCTGGTAAAACATTTTTGCTGTCGTTTGAAATCGACTGAAAACAAAAGCAGTGACTTATTTACAGTTACAGACACAAACAGTCTAAAGATGGAGAACGTGTCAGAGCGATTCCCCGTGTGTGTGAAACAGATGTTTCTGTGCACGTGTTGCTGCAGGACATCACAGGTGAGTGTAAGGCACAAGAAAAGGTGATCTGACAGGAAGTCCCGAGACAGAGTCTGTGTGCATGCCTCTCAGGCTGATCGGTTTTCTCATGGTTTCATTAGTGGCTGCATGTCGTGGCTGCTGTGGTAAAGCTATGAGGAGATGGGTTAGCAGGCAGAGGGTGCCACTGGACAGGCCTGACACATTCAGACTTGCAAGCAGCGTCATTCTATGGGCAGAAATCTGAAACTGAATTTGAATAAGTTAGATTTAAATTTGAATTCATGGCTTGAAAATGATCATCACTAAATTGAAATTGCATTTTATCCTTTAAAAATTCAGCTCTCGAATAATTTCAGTTTCACTTCTCACCGTTCAGTTTGGAATTTAAATTGATGGGATTTAAATCCTTGTCGTCTTTTCCTCCTCAAGCTCATCTTAAGCTCTCAGAGGACCATATGACCCCAAACACAGCAGCTGCTACTCGTGGTCCCTCGGATATTTCTCTGAATAGAAACCAGAGCCTTTTGTAAGGTAAAGACCCTGAAGTAACACTGGTGTGTGAAGAAGAAACACCCTATGTCTATTGCAGCATAACTAAGGGAGGATTCAGGGTCACCTGGTCCAGCCCAACTATATGCTTTAGCAAAAAGGAAAGTTTGAAGCCTAATCTTAAAAGTAGAGATAGTGTCTGTCTCCTGAATCCAAACTGGAAGCTGGTTCCACAGAAGAGGGGCCTGAAAACTGAAGGCTCTGCCTCCCATTCTACTTTTAAATACTCTAGGAACAACAAGTAGGCCTGCAGAGCGAAGTGCTCTAATAGGGTGATATGGTACTACAAGATCATTAAGATAAGATGGGGCCTGATTATTTAAGACCTTGTATGTGAGGAGCAGGATTTTGAATTCTGGATTTAACAGGAAGCCAAAACAGGAGAAATCTGCTCTCTCTTTCTAGTCCCTGTCAGGACTCTTGCTGCAGCATTTTGGATCAGCTGAAGGCTTTTCAGGGAGTTTTTAGGACATCCTGATAATAATGAATTACAGTCGTCCAGCCTGGAAGTAATAAATGCATGAACTAGTTTTTCAGCGTCACTCTGAGACAGGATATTTCTAACTTTAGAGATGTTGCACAAATGGAAGAAAGCAGTCTTACATATTTGTTTAATATGTGCGTTGAAGGACATGTCCTGGTCAAACATGACTCCAAGGTTCCTCACAGCGTTACTGGAGGCCAAGGTAATGCCATCCAGAGTAAGAATGGTTAGATTCTTACTCTGAGTCAGATGTACAGTGAGAGTTTGCTGAAAAGGTTTGGGAGAGGCCCTGGTCCATAAGATGTTCAGTTCCCACATGCAGCAGAACATCGACACCATCTCTGGTGCCCGTGGGTCAGAGTGGACCCTGTTCTGTGCCTCCATTGTTGAAGCAGCTGCATGTGGTCATAAGGTGGAGATGATAATCCCTGGAGCACATGGTGGACACTGGAGGTGAAACAGGAGATCAGTCAGGTTGGGTTAAGGCGGCTGACAGGTACCAACCTGTGGGAGGGTTTGCTGAGTCAGCGATTATGTCAGGTGACTCAGAGGCAAAGCGGTATTGCTCACATGGTGTGGATGGGTGCTGCGGACTGAGGACACAGTCGGGTGATGGAGGGAATACTTCTACATCAGCGGCCCCCAACCCCTGGGTCATGGAGCGGGATAGGTCCGTGAGTCGCTTGGTTGAGGCTCGGGTGTAAAATATATGGTTTTCAGGGTTTTCTTGTTATTTTTTGTCATTTTCCTCGTTGATCTGGTTTCCCTGGGTCTTTTCTCGTGTGTTATGAATAAATCTTTTTGGTTGTCGTGGTTCACACTGCTATGTAACGTCACATGGAGCTGGGCTGTGTTGGCAGACTAATGATAGAACTGTTATATAGCCAGAATCTGATGCGTCAGTCGATAGAAAATGAAGCTGCGCTTGCAGAAGCTGCAGCAGGTTTAGAACCTCTGCTCACTATAAAGCACCTGAGTCCTTGTCCCCTGCAAAGACTGTGAGTCACCATCTTCCACATCACCGCACACAGAGATAATGCTGCCTGCACTCGTCCAGGCCACAGTGCTAACGAAGCATCGTTGTATATCTTGCCCTCTGGTTGTTTCGGCGGCTAAACTAAACGGTGAGTGAATTTGAAATTTAGGAAAGGGGACAAACTCCTCTGATGAAAGGAGCCCGTTTACACAAACTATTTAGTCACATTTCCAAGGATCCCAATAAACCAGCGAAGAAACTGACTCGCTGTCCTGTGTCTGCTGGAACTACATGGTTGTGTCGTCTGTGTGGGAGGCTGGATAGGTGACCAAATCCAAACACACACGTGTCAGCGTGCAAGGAGAGACTCAGACAACACAAGATAAGAAAGGGGGAAAATCCTGTGCAGGCCTGCAGTTCCCCCAGGCCTCTGCACCGCAAACATCAGAGCTTCTAGCCTGCAGTGCCGCCTGTGTTGTCCCCGTGAAGGAGCGTATGAATGGTGGACTCTGTCTCGTTCAGCTGCTCCCAGCACATCAGTCTGAGTCAGTAGGATCAGGCTGCACTTTGCACTGATCTCCTGTAGAAAACTGTTTCCTTTCTGTCTGCTTTCAGTTTGACACTCTCTTCATACCCATCAACACTACTCACATACTCTTTCTTCAACATCACCACAGCTTCACTTCACTCCCATCTATACCAACTTGAATCCACATCCGTTGCTCCTGACCTTGCTTTGGTCTCACACACACAACATATGGCTGTTGTCCTTCTTTCTACCATATCCCAACACTCCTGCCTCTCCGCTCGTCCCTCTTCTCTCGTCTTTCAGCAACACTGACGCTCCAGCACTGGAGCTCATCACTGTAAAACCTGAGCCTGAATACAAACAGACAGGACAGAAATAATAAAGAAACATACGTTGGCATCAATCTCTGCAGTTTCAGAAGCTCTCAAACGCTGAACGCTTGTAGCTTTATATATAAAATCCTGCTTTATTTTTCCATTTCCTGTCCTGCTAAATGGTGAACACCATCAGGTTATTGTGGTCATGATAACAAAAGGCAGCTCTGACACGCCTGATTCACTTATTATCGAGCTTCCTGTGGGACAGGAAAACGTAAGAGAAAAAGGGTTTTAAACCAAGAATTAGGGGGCGGTTGTGTACAGCGCTGAGCTGGTTTCAGAAAACCCTTAGCCCAGACCAGGGGTGTCAAACATAAGGCCCGGGGGCCAGCATTGGCCTGGTGAAGGCTTTTCCTTTTGATAAAGATAATAATTACCTAACAGATAAAGAATTAAAGACAAGAAAGTTCCTGTTTTTCCTCTATAACTGGGTCCACGGGGAATGAACTAAATTGTGTATAAATGTATATCTAGAATTAAAGGACGGTCCGTCCAGTTACCTTTTCTGTAACTTCACACATTTATCATGTATTTCCACTGGTCAGAGCGGGCTGTGAAAAACTAGCTATAAGTTAGCTATAAGTTATAAATTCCCTTAAATAATTAACGAGTGCGTTACATGAACTTTGTGTTAAAATGACACTTCAGTTTTAGGAGCTGTGTTACTTTTAAAAACACTTCCAGGATTCGTGCAAACAAAGCTCACAGCTCCGTGACTCGTGGTTTTGCACACAGATCAGTAATCATCTACATCACAGCGTGTGAGGCTGACCACATGTGCCACTGTTATAACCTGTTACATCTGTATGTGATGGTGACGGCTGTAAAAGCGTTTGAACTTGTGACCACAGTGAAACACACAGCTACACACTGTGACATGTCCGTGTTGTAGTAGCTATTTATTTCGGGGTCCATATGTTCCCCCACACTGACTGAATACATACATGATTATTCATTCTTATTTTGCAACGTGACAGGAAATGTTAGAAAAATGTTCTCAAATTCCACAGTGTCCACTGACTTTGTCTCTGCAAGGCCCACACAGGAAACCAGTCTGTGACCAGCTTAAACATTTTGCTTCATGCAGCTTGGTGAAAAACAAGTTTGGCACAGTTTAAAGATACAGATAGATATACAAGCACTGCATCATGGGACATACACACTCAACAGAGCCATGCAAAGAAAAGTTTTCTGAGGATTAGTGTCCATACAGGGAGTACAGTTAGCTTTATTCATGAAGCAGTGTTTACGTGATACTGTGTTTTTTGCAAAAGTCATCAGGCTCACCTTAAAAGATGCGCACACGCACACACACTCACACACACACACTCACACACACACACACACTTGCAAAAAGCTCTTCGTTTGAGTTCATCTGTGCGAGAAAAGAAAAACTCCTATTGAGAAAAAAGACTTTTTGAATCATGGCGTGATCTGAGATAATGAAGGAAGCACTTTAATCTAGTCATAGTTGTAAATGCCCAGCTTGAAGGGTGCTCTTCGGTTAGCTTAATGAAGGCTGCTATTGCTAACGTCGGTCCTGGGATGGGTCCGGATGGATAGCTTCTCTCCGTGCACGTTCTCCCCACGACTGAACCAGCCGGAGGCTAAAACTGGGACGTCTCCGTGAAGGAGATCGCATCCGTCTTGTCAACCGTGAAGCCTCCGTTCACGTAGGACTTCTTCTCACACTCCTCGTCATCCAAAGCGGCTTCCAGGGCAAAAGGGTTGGCGACATCCATGTCTGATGTCAGGTCCATCCGTTCTAGTTCCCTCTTGGAGAGTTTCTGGACAATGCCAGCTCCGTACGCATCGCCAAGGACGTTGATCATAGTGCGGAACCGATCCCTGAAACACGACAGTCACAGTGAGTCTACAGCAGTTTCCACAAAGACAGAAGAAAGTCAGCACAAAAACACAATAGACAAAAGCTCACAGTAGCCAATCGACTGCAACGATCAGAGTGACATCACTTGCAGGTAAGCCAACAGCTGTTAAAACTATCACCATGGTGACAAGCCCAGCGTTAGGCACTCCTGCTGCTCCAATGCTGGCAACTGTGGCTGTTATACTGAAACACAAAGACACAATGTAACAATTATTCTTCATAAAGCACAAAAACATCTTCCAATCAAGAGGTGATATAAAGCCACGCCCATTCAGGGTTAAAGGGATAAAAAGAAATGATGGCTTTCTTTGCTCGTGTGCTGGGTTTGGACACACAGCGACATGAACATGAAATCTAAGCATTCTGGGTCCGTGTTTGTGAGCGAAGCAGGTGATGAACAGCCACACTGATAGATGCTGTGGTGAGCACAATATGAAAGCAAAGCTGCTGATTTACTGGCCAGGCTATAATCATACCTTCACCTGTGGCCATTAGTGTGAGTAATGACCAGAAGCACAAGATTATGGTGACAAGTGGCAGAAACGAGCTTCCTCTGTGTGGCCTCTAGGCTCAGCCTTAGAGTCCGGCTGATTGGTCCTTCAGGAGAGGCTCAAAGTGGAGCCACTGCTCCTTCACATGTTTTGGACATTGAGCAAGGCAGTCACCTAAGAGGCAGACTGGATGCCTCCTTCAAAGCAACTGATGCACAGCTGCAGTTCAAAAAGTGGGAAGAAAATGCTGCATAATTCACCTTTGTAGGAAACGTTGAGGTCAACAATCAGTAGCCTGGATTTTCTGGATTTCCTTTTTGTCTCACGAAGCTTTGAATCTGGTACATTTTTCTCCTATGAGGAGTTGGAGTGAAACCAATCCATGACACTCGTGTCCACTGTCAGTTCAATTCAACTGATGTCACACCAGAAAACTGTTGCCTCAAACCCTACAATAATTCAAAGACAGCAGATAAAAGCCCAGCAATCAGGTGATCTCCTTTGAGCCCTTTAGCGACAGTGGGAATGAAAAACTCCCTTTTAACAGGAAGAAACCTCCGGCAGGCCCAGGGAGGGGCGGGGCCATCTGCTGCGACCGGTTGGGCCTACACCTACTGCAGCATAACGAAGGGAGGATTCAGGGTCACCTGGTCCAGCCCTCCTGTAAGCATGTATAGTGTAAACAGAATCGGTCCTAGCACTGAGCCCTGCGGAACTCCATCCTTAACCTCAGCGTGTGAAGAAGACTCCATTTACATGAAAAGCAGGATATTATCGAGTCCTTTTTGAAATGCAGGTTAACCAGCAGTTTTCCTTCAGAATGCTAATGTTAAAACTATCTCTATAAAGTTGTCTTTAAAGCTACGCGAGCAGCAGTAACAGCGTCGTACCTGATGGTAACAATCTGGCCTACATCCAGAGCGTAATCATTCAGCTGGGCGATGAAGATAGCAGCCACCGCCTCGTACAGCGCTGTGCCGTCCATGTTAATGGTGGCGCCAACCGGGAGCACAAAGCGGGTGATCCTCTTGTCGATGCAGTTGTTTTCCTCAGCACATCGAAAGGTGACAGGCAGGGTTGCCGAGCTGGCAGACACAAGCAGAGGCAGTAAGTATTCTGTGGTCAGACACTATAGAGCATAGGTGTCAAACTCTGGCCCGCGGGCCAAATTTGGCCCGCAGCCTAATTACATTTGGCCCGCGAAGCCATACCAAATTACTATTAGAGCTGGCCTACTGGTATTATACAGCTAATATATATATTGTTTAGTATTAAGCTTTGCTTGTTCCATATTCAGTTTTCCAGCAAAACTTATTTGAGTCCATAAGAAAAGATTCATATATCTGGAGGAAGATTTTTTTTTCAATAAATATTAAAGTTAGCCCGCGACTTTGTTCCAGTTTTGAATTTTGGCCCACTGTGTATTTGAGTTTGACACCCCTGCTATAGAGCTTTAGATTCATTAAAATAAAACATCCCTGTGCCCTGAAAACGTTTGGGAAGCTGTTTAGTCCAATCACAGAAATATGAAAGATCCGACTCTGACCTGGAGGAGATCATGAGCGCCGTCACCAGGGCCTGAGCCATTCCTAGAGTGAACGTATACGGATTCTTCCTCACAATGACGAAGAAGATGAGGGGCAGACAGACGGTGGCGTGGATAGCTAGACTGAGGGACAAAACACACAGCGTTATCGAGCCGTAAAGGGAATTACAAAAATATTAGAAGAAGAAATGTGAAGAAGACTCGCGGGACTCTGTCGGACTCAGAGTTGTTTAGTTTCACCTGTGTTTAATTATTGACACTGTTCTAAGCGAGTCGTGTTCTTTCTATCATTTGTAAATTTTAACATGTAGCTTATTCTAAATATTTTACTGAAGAAATACACTTCAGTCAGTCTTTTTGTGAATTCAAAATGCTTCAGTGGGCTGAATGATGAGGGAAGTAGCTGCAGGTGGCTCTTTGAAGTCTCCACAGTCATAATTCAATTTAATTCAACTTTGTCATCCTGTCATTTCAAGACGCTTTGTAATATGTAATGATGTAGTCAGAGAGCCCCGGTAAGTAGGTTGGATGCCTCAGGGCCACTTCCAATTTCCTTTGGCTGCTCCGCTCACACAGTGGCTCAGCTATGCTCCAATCACATGCGAGGATATAGGATAATATCATTGTGTGAAAAACAGAGAGGGTGATGGACGCGACAGTCAAGTGGAGCGTGCGTCTGTCCTCTCAGTGAGTGAGACAGTAACAGCGGTGAGGACGGCTGTGCGAGTGCAAAAACACAAATATGCCTGAGACCCGTAAACGAAGCAGCATCTGGCTGCAGTTTGAAGACTTTTTGGTCTCGGTCTCGATACCCTCTGGTCTTGGTGTTGTCTCGGTCTTGACTACAAGTCTACAGATGAGCCAACGAGCATACAGGAGAGCTGAACTGAATCTGTATGAGCATGAAGACGTAACGCTACGACTCTCCCATTTGTCTTTGACCAGGATGTGTCCGTTCTCCCAGAGTCTCCCAGCATCACATCTTTGAGATCTCATCTTGTTATGCCCAGAGCCCGCTACACTCTGGGAGGTCAGGCTGACCTGTGGCTCCTAGAATTCCTGAATGGGAGCCGGAGCGTTGAACTGTGGGGACCAGCTGCTCGTTGACTTCTGGAGACAGACGCTCGCTCTGCTTTCATGATTTTTGCTCAAAGGGTTTCTGGTTAAAAGAGCCGAGGTTCTGTCTTTAGTATCACATGGCTGTCACAGAGTGCTTTGAAATGAACTCTGTTATCTTTACATAAACCTGTGCTAAACTGCTCCGACAGGTTTAGCTTCAACCATAACTGACGTAATGTGATCTGAGTACAGCGTGAACATTATTCACACGCGTAATTATTCTCTGCAGACATGCTTCTATCAGCTACAAGCCCCGAGTGCTACTCCTCTTTATAAGTGATGCATTTCCTTCATACTGGAACATAATCTTGTGATATTTCATTTTTGCCCAATGTGCACACTGCACCTCTCACAGACTCGATATCATGCTGTGACTGATACACACTCACAGCACGCTGATGAAGGCTTTGAATGAAGGAATACAGTTCAAATGCTCATTTTGACACAAATAAACAGGCAGGTAGAGGACTGTCCCAGCCCCACTGTCAGTCTGCCCCCACTGGCCGTGACACTGTCCCAGCCCCACTGTCAGTCTGCCCCCACTGGCCGTGACACTGTCCCAGCCTCACGGTTCCACACGGTGACGAGTTTTCTTCTGCTGCATTTGGAGCCACAGGATGAACCTTGGACTCACCTTGTGGGTTAACTGAGGGGATGTTTTATGTTACAGTCGTTAATTGTGCCTCGTACATTTAGAGGCGTGAGTGAAGCTTTCATTACTGCATTCTTGCAGGTTGAGCAGTTTTAAATGTCCTTCGCCCTTATCAGTGCTCACACAGAGCTCAGCTTTTATCGTACACAGGAGGGGGAATCGGTCCAAATGTCAGCCATAAAGCCCGGAGTGTGGAACGGCCGGATGGAGAGTAATGGGAAAGCTTACCCGCTCAGCACCGTCACCATATAAAGACCCATCTTCCTGAAGATCTCCCAGTCTTCTACCTCGATGATCTTTGCAGCAATAAGAAACAGGATCCCTACGGGCATGTAGCTGAAAAGACAAAGGTGCTTCAGTTCCACGATGAACACATCCTCCTCAGACACGCGGCAATAACAAAGGTGACCTGCAGGTAGAAGTTAATGATTTGAAAATGATGGAGTTCCTACTGAAATGTAGTTAATCTAGCAGGTTTACACAAACAACGAATGCTACACGTTTCAGTCAGAGTGCATCATGTCAAACCCCTGCAACACTGAGCTGGTCAGTTGGCAGCACAGGGGGTCGGCTTCATAACGTTCAGCCTTTTTCAGCTTTATTGACAGATACAGAGAAGAAACGACAGCAGAGAGAGGGAGAGAGGGAGGGGGGAGAGAGGGAGGGAGGGGGGAGAGAGGCAGGGGGGAGATCAGCTGTGGATCAGCCTCGAACCTGATGAAATGAACAACACAGGAGGGGCCAAACAAGCCAACACTACAGAGGTGTTTGTAACATTGTCCTCGTCTCCTCTGTTTTTGCACCTTTTTCACTGGTTTGGTGTCACTATGAGGACAAGGTCCAACTATCACTGCCGTTACCAGAAGGTTTACTGCGTCTCCCAGCACAGTGAGCACGCAGGAGATTCAGGACACAGTCGCTGCAGACGGTCCTTCAGACATCAGCGGGACTGGCATCTGCTCCTTTGTGCAAGCAGGACCAGGAGGAGCACTGACAGAGCCCTAAAGAGTGAACTCTGTTCGGCCGCTGATGTGAACGTCTCTGACCAATCAGAAACAAACTTCATGAGAGTGGCCTATAGTAGGCCCTGTGACTGTAATTTGCCATAGAGCACCAGAACTGGCAGGTCCATCAAGTTTTGGCTTCCACAGATGAGAGCAAGTTTACCTCGAGCACGTGGGACAGATGTGACAGGTGTGACAGATGTGACAGATGTGTGTGGGTGTGGAGCGGCCGTGGACATTGGCGTGCTGCCTGTAATCGTTCAGCATGGCTGGTTTGGTGGGTTAATGATGGCTGAGCGACGGCCCCCCGACTGCCATCAGGTACAGGAATGAAATCCTTGGACAGCCTCGACTAACTGGGTCGGATGAAGTAATAAAATTATACAGGAACATTTACACCACCCGATCATCAGTTTTCTTAACTGCTTATCCAAAGAAAGCTTCCTCTGTGAACCTGAACCGCAAAAGTGATCAGGAACGGTGGTTTCACCGTTTCACCGTGTAGTTTTAGGGTGTAGTTTACACACCGGTTTACAAACTGGTGTAGTTTACATACCACATAATTATCTGGACCAGTTTCATTGTTGCTTCATTTAAGGCATCAAAAAAGTCCAGCAGGATCCGACCCTTTTCTCCCATCTTCCCAATGACGAGGCCGAACGCAACACAGAACACGATGAGCCCCAACACATTGATCCCATCGGAGTACGTGCCGACGATCTTGTAGTCCTTTGTGATGTTCTGCCGAGAGAAGGGAAAGACCATTCATGAAAGCTGCTTCCACAGACACACAGATCCACTCATGAGCTCTGCAAATGTCATGTCAGCACCACAGCTGCCTGAGCTCAGCCTGCTTATAACTCGTTATTGAGCCAATCCATTAAACGAGACACTGGCTGCCAGCTGCCGACACATGAGACTAATGTCACCACAGTGGAACGAGCACACCTACCTCCATCACAGTCATGATCGTGGTCGTGAGAGGGGGCACGGTGCTGCTGTTCACTGGAAGCTTTTCAGGCTCCAGTTCTTTGCGTTTTGTTTTGTACTAGAGTGGAATTGGACACAGTGTCAGAATCACACGATGACAAGCACCAGAATCGAAGGTAGGCCAGAATAACAGGATGTGTGGTCGTCTTACCTGCTGAAAACAAGCCTGCACCAGATTTTCAGGAAACATGTTTCTGTCAGTGGAAAGCACAAAGCTGCAGGTGAGCAGCAGAACGGATGCATCTCTGTGGCAACTCTGAAGTTAAATATCTAGCAAAACATACTTTTCATGAATGCAGCTATCAAACAAAGACCATGCCTCAAATATAAACTCTCATAGTGTGCATTAAAGATCTTTTTTAAGTCCATGCTTTTCTTCTTGCACGACTCTGTCATAGTTGAGCCACATCAGTAACAGTAATGTCAGAATTAGTCATAACTTACCAAGCATGTCAAAGACAGGGCAGCGTAGCGCTGCAGTGACTCGTCCTACATGTTTACCTGAGATGTAACCTGACACCAATAAAGGATGCTAGTACGACGCTACCCGAACCAACTAAACAGTGTTTGTTGGGATATTGTATGATGAAAGTTTCCGTTTCAGGCCATCTAAGAAAGATGCAACTCTTTTCTTCCATCCTGATATTCCTGAAACATTTCCACTAGAAACTCACCTGAGCAGGTCCAACAGTGTGTCGACTGTGGTGACATTAGGAGGAGTCCCAGCTCTGTCGATGTGCTCAGCTGTCTGAGACACGCCCGGTTTGATGGTCATCACTAGAATAATTCCTGTCAACAAAGATGCCACTTAGTAGCTATATTTATATAAAAACATCAACCATTCGTTTTATACGCTGCATATAAAATGAATTATTAATTCAAATGGGACTCACCAAGAACAACTGCAATGATAGTTGTTGAGAAGTAATAAACGACAGCTCGCAGACCGATCTTTCCTGACACCTCGGAGTCTAAGGCTGCAACACCTGTTGGTAAGAAACACATTCAGTGTATTTAAAACACAGGCTCAGCCCACACATCAGGGTCCAGGCTGATCCAGGTAGCTGCAGGGTGAACTCGGGGGTACTACAAAGCTGGTTCGGTTCTTACCAGGATGAATCACAGTGAGTGACTAAGACAAAGGCCTTTGCTTAGGCAGAGGTTGTCCTTCTCTCCTGGATCGGCTGCAGCTTTCTTTAGGAGCCGTCCCAGCTGTGACAAACGTCCAGCTGTGACAAACGTCCAGCTGTGATAACCACATTTACTCAGGGCCTTCCTGATGTTCTTCTGCCTCCCTGGCTGCTGTGTCAGTGGGGATGGTGTTCGCTCTGTGTGGTAGCGTCCTGATGACGCCCAGTTTGTGCTCCGGAGGATGATGAGAGTCAAACCTTAGATACTGATCCAAATTTGTTGGCTCTTGATAAATATTGACTTTTTATGTCGCCCATCCCTGATGAAACTTTTAGTCTAAGAAAGCAGTTATTTTTATATCCTCCCTGATGAACTTCACGTGTTTGTTAACCCTTGTGTGGTGTTCATATTTTTGTTACTCAGCCAGTGTTCATGGGTCTGGTGGACCCGCTAGAGTTTTGGCTTTCCAAATTAACTCTATCAAACAATTTTATGTTAAATTACTCAACAGATGTTTACTTCATCCCAATTACAAGACATATGAACAGCAAACATGGTTATTTTTTTCCCTTTACCTTTGTTAGATCACATTTATGAATTAATGTGCTTCTCGTTTTTTTTTATAAAATGTTATAAAAAAATAAATCAGTTATAATCAAGTGGAGTGAGTGGAAAGACACAACACATTTACACGTGAAGCAATATGTTTCACAACTAAATGACATCAGCTGCACATCAATGGTGATATTAGGCCCAGGGTTGTAAAACAGGGGGAGGCGGTGCACACACTTATCCCACACTGTCCTGATGGCAGCTAGCTTGCCTCTCTGCCGTCGAGCTGGTCTGTCATCTCGGTTATCAAAACGGATAATCCTGGAAATTTTGTTGAAGTTTTCCAGAGACATTGATGCACGGAAAGGTTCGTGCCGGTTTCTGCATCCCACAAGATTCTGTGGATTCCCCTTTGGACCTGAAAACTCCTGCAAGGATAAGAACCCCAAAGTAGGCCTGTAGATCAATTTGGTCCATCTCCTTCCACCTCTCTCCAAAAACACACCTTCATTCTAGATTACTGCAAACTAGAGATGGACCGATCCGATATTACGTATCGGTATCGGTCTGCAAATCGGTATCATGCTTGATCGTGCTGCAATCAGTATCGGTCTGTAAACCAGACCAGAATCATTTTCTGGATGGAATCTGGGATGAAAAGCTCAATGAAGACTTGATGTCCTGTCAGCCGTGTTGGCCCTGGCTTATCACAGTAACAGCTCTGCAGGGTGGCTCATTTCTTGGGCAAGAAGACCATTCAATTTCACCAGTTACTGACATCCATATTTCTTCACTTGCTGTCTGGTGGGCTTGTTCTGGTCCTGGAGCTGGCTGCTGATGGGGTGCTCGTCTTCGTTTTGTTACTAAACGGTGCTCAACCTCATCCTCTTCTTCAAAGTCACTGTCAGACTCTGAATTTTCAGAAATGTGAAATATTCTGAAACCTCTTTGTCAACATCATCATCCGAAGCCCCTCTCTCTTCCAAAATCAATTGGATGGCCCTCGCAGCAGATAATCTTTTGCCATCTTGATCAGTTGTGATAAAGAACCACACTGGCAAATTCCTTTTTATAGTATTATGCCCCTAATTTGCAGGAGGGACAGGGTATGAGAAAATAAAATTTGGATCCCTCAAGAAAGAGGGTAAAATGTGCGGGAATGTAAGAGCAGATGGTGTTGATAGTTGAATTTTCAACAATGTTGCAACTTTGTGCGGAGCAGGAGGGGAAGAAAACACCATCAGCAGCACCAGAAAGGAGGAAGACAGAGTATGGGAACACAGGACCTGCACTTTCAACACTTTTATTAGACCTGGGTCCAGTGGACCCGAACACCTTGTATGTAATGTAAATGCGTGGGGGGAGGTACAGTATGCGGTCATTGAAAATTAGTCCGGATTTATGTTCTTCACAGAAAATAAGCCAAAGCCAATGAATTTCAGGTTGAAAAAATAATTAATTGTTTCATTTTTCTTTTGAGAAAAACTGAAAACGGGTCTCACAGACCCGAACACCATACAAGGGTTAATGTGATCAGTGAATTGCAGTGCACCCTGAGCCTACACAGCCATAAACATGCTGACATCTGATTTTCACCCAGGTGTTCTCTACATCAGCTTTCTGCTGTTCCATGATTGGACAACAGATCTTTTTCAGTTCCTCCAGTAAAAACTGGCCACAGCTGATGAAGCTGGGAACCCACGTTCTTTCTGTAGGACTGACCCTGTATGTGAAGACACAGTTCAAACACACTTGGTCGGTGCTGAGAGCGGTCCTGCTGCTGAGGTTGGGCTCATCCTGCCATCTCTTACCAACTACCTCCAACACTTCTTTTTTGTCTTTACACATTTGAGTTATTTAAACAGTGATTGTTAAGATAACATAGAAAAATGTTTCAGAGGACCTGACTGGTCTGACAGGTGCATTAAATTCCACAGAGCAATAGAGTTTCGTAGATTTTATTCTGTCGGCAAACTGTTTTTAGATTTGATCCATTTTGGATTGTTGGGAGTCATTTCATCTCAACACCTTCTGTAGTTGTAAACATTCGATCACGTACAATTTGTTATTTTACATGTTTTATCCTTCCAAACATTCGCCCAAAACCTCGTCTTCTGTGACTGCTTTCAGGTGTGCTCCCTGGTGTTTCCCATGTTCCCGTCATCTTGCTCATAGTCTTGGCCTCCCCACACTTCTCTGTCATCTCATACCGTTTGGAATCTGTTTCCTTTCAGTTATTTGGTTTGATATGTGTTCCAGGTCAGCAGAGCAAACACTTCTCCATCACAGCAGCTGCCCAGCGGTCAGGCCTCACTACAGCAGCAGCAGCTGGGTGAGTGCAGCTCTGGTTGGTAGAAAGGCAGTCAGACGGTCCAAACCTGCCTTGTTGACTGAACCGGAGTCATTTCTCACTGCTTGCACATGAGCGACAGTCAGAGGGTCTGATCTCCATCTTCACAGCTGCTCACCTGCTGAGCCTTCAGGTTCTGCATCCTCCATCTGCTGCTCTTAGCAGGATCCAAACGTGGCACCTGGACACCTTCATGGCCCCTTAGATTCTCCGTCTCTGCTGAGCCCACACAGCCACCCGACCACCCTGAACTGTTGCCTTTCTGCAGGTTCCTGGGCAGAACCCCGGAGCTGTCCCTGATGTTTGGAAATGTTTTGTTCCCTAGTTTTCTGCACCCTGGCTCCTCCCCCCGCCCTGGTCATGAGACAAGAAACATCGAGGAAACAAATGAAACTCTACAATTAGAACTAAATTACAACCAACTCTGACCAACTCTCCATCACAGAACGAGGGGGAGAAACCAGACAGACATGCTGGGAAACAGGAAACTGGGGACAAAAGACTTCACAGGGAGGACACACAACCAGGACATACTGGGGAGGACACACAATCAGGACACGAAAGGGACCAGAGCAAATGAAACTCAGAACAAGAACAACAAGCAATGACACTAAGAGGCACAAGAACACTAAACAATGACAACATAACAACAATAAACGAGGTCCAAAAACCAGACTAGCAGGTACCCGAACACCAACCCTGTCAGTGACATCTATTAACTTACAAAGTCCAAAAGAAGGTACACAGGCGACAAACCTCGGGAGAAATGCACGAGGCAAATCTAGAAACAACAACAGGCAGCTCAGTAACTAATGAACAGTGGATATTTGAAGATGCAAAGTGTGATCGTCATAAGCAGCTGTGCTCAGCTGAAATCACTGTTTCAGAGGCAAAACCAATTGAACAGAGCTGAGAAATATTTTGTCTTCATTCATTTCACGTCTGAGCTACAAGACGGAGCTATTTATTTATCCACTGCAGCAGGGAGCCGTGATATGACGAACACAGAGAGAGATCAGTCAGAGGACTCGTTCTGCTACAGTCAGCAGGGTTTCTGACTGAGGAGACTGTCTTAACCTTTTTACTACAAGTGGAAAATCCAATTCAGTTTTATTTACATGTCAAATCGCAGCCACAGTCACCTCAGGGTGCTTGTACTGTAAGTAAAGGCACTGCAATAATACAGAGGCATGGGCAGCACTTTGGCGACAGTGGGAAGGAAAAACTCCCCTTTAACAGGAAGAAACCTCCAGCAGAACCAGGCTCAGGGAGGGGCGGGGCCTCTGCTGTGATTGGTGGGGGTTAGGGGAGGGGGACAGGACAAAGACGTGCTGTGAAAGAGAGCCAAAATGAATAATAACCAATGATTAAATGCAGAGTGGTGTATAAACACAGTGAAGGCATCATGTCCCCAGCAGCCTACACCAGCGTCACCTGATCCTGCCCCAACTATAACCTTTATCCAAACAGAGGGCGTGTCTCCCAGCTGAGCTTTGAAGTACTTGTTTGATTATTGCCACCGTACAGGTCTGAGGTACGTCCCCCTTAATACAGACAGGCTGATCAATGTAAAACAGTTATTGATGGTAAGCCTTTGGAGGAAGTGATTACTGAAGTTACCTTGGAAACAGGAGTCAAACCCCCACATTACAGTCAGCAGTAGCACTGCAGTGACAGACGTCCTGTCAGAGGCTACCGGTGCGGTTATGACACTCAGTTAGCTGAGAGCAACTGCTCTTTAAGACTGTGATAACAGGAAGGTGGGCCTGTAGCTCTGAGAGCCAAGTCATGGCTGTTTAAGTCTCCTCAAAGGCCTGTGAGGAGTAACAGAGTTAGCTCGATCATAATTAAGACTGAAGCATTAATTAATGGCAGGACTTCTTTGAGTGTGTGAAGATGCAACAGGATTCATGATAATCAGCCTTTATAGGAACAGAGCAATAAACACACGAGGGAACAGAGGAGGGAGACACAGCTGAACCCAATTAAACATGACAAGACAGGGAGGAAGCAAACGAATACAAGACATGGACCTTCAAAGTAAAACAGGAAACACAGAACACAGAGAACACCGAGCACAAGGACCAAAACCTGAGAACTAGGAATGCAAAACAGAAGCACGACACTAGCAGTGAAACCAAAGATGAACACAAAGATCAATGATATAAAACACTGGGTCACCCACCCAGGACTGTGACACAATGAATCAACCAGCAGATTGTAGACACCACCTGCGCTTCAACCTAAGACACAGCAGACTTGTTCCCACAGTCAGAAGACAGAGCAGAGTTTGTTATGGAGAGCACAGAGCCAACCTCTAGTGAAAGGATAGGACAGGTGTTTCACTATAGATGCAGACTGAGCTCAGACTCAGGAACTCTCCCACCCTCCTAGTTTAGAAGAAGCTTCTACGTTTGAGGCTCAGCCCGTTACAGGACAGGACAGACAACCTTACAAATTCTATACATGGCAAACTTATCATTTCAAGTTGATTTCCAGACACAGACAAGAACAGGAAGACACCACAGTCATGAGCAGCATGAAAAGATGGACTGGGTTTCTCCACAACAGCTGCCCACAGTGATCTTATCACAGCCTGAAGGTTTCAGCCACCCTCCAGTCTGACCTCATAATACAGGAAACGCAGGCTCCTCTCGACAACAGCACCCCACAGACAACTACACAACAACAAAGTCATCAGTTACCGCCCTACGGGACACCGTCTGTACCCCGGGGGTGCTGCTTCCACAAAGAAGCAGCCCCACTCAGACCCACTGTCAGCAGCACCATCCAGCTGTCCCTGTGGGGAACACGCTCACATCAAAAACTCCACCGACTTCACCAACAAGCTCCAGAAACACCGGATCCAGATGAAACCACCGACAACCGAGACAGTCAGAAAACAACTACCGAGGAAACAGAAGCAGCTTTACCCCGATTGGATCTGGAGGATGCCAGCGTTTGAAAGAGGACTGAAAGTATCCGAATACTTTACTAATCCCTGAGGAAATGATCTACAGCTGCTCCTTCCGAGCTTCTTAGATATGGCTCAGCAAGCTGCGTATAACACAGCCCAGCAGACACTCTATGCTGCACTTCAGACATGTTTTACTTTTATTCCTTCATCTGCAGACGGTTTGAGGGTTCTGGTTAAACCTTCCTGATGAACTCTGATCTGTGAACATGACCTGCTCCTTAACAGGTTAGTAAGAAGGGAACCAGCTTTGTAGTACAGAAGGGTTAACCTCAGAGTTACCTGGATGGGACGAACTGCACCGGCAGGCCTCTGTTACCTGTTATCATGCTTGAAATGATCAGGGGAAGAATGACCAGCTTCAGCATTCGCATCAGGATCTCTCCTGGGAAGCCAAAGTACTGCTTGTAGAGATGCGACAGGGATGCGTACTCTCTGACCACAACACCCAGACTGATCCCTGCAAGAGCCAGAGACACGGTAAACTCCACTTCACCTGAAACAAAACTTTCCAAAGAGCACCAAGCACTGAACAAACACTCGTGCTGGTTTACATGTGTGACATGAAACAGGCCAGACAAGCACATCCAATCAGGACATTTCAGCTGATGCTTTGTCATCTAAACGGATACAGAATTGCAACGACTTTCATCATCGTGTGCGTCAAATCCTTCACACGGGAAACAGGGTGTGTAGTTTGTCCCGACCCTGACAATGGGCTTCCCGGTTTTTACGTTTAATTTGCTTTAACGTTTAATTCTTCGTCCTCTTTCAGGGCTCAAAGATGTGTGTGAATACTGCCAGCTCTGTCTGCGCCCCAGATGCTCCACCTGTGGCTTTACAAAGACCTCCACCTTCTTCCAGACGGCCTTAGTCAAAAGTATCGCCCTTCACTTTGTCATCGGTCTGTATCGTGGCCCTGCCTACACATCCTATTCTGGTGTTGTGCCTGAAAGTGATTTCTGGCATTTAAACTGTTGTAAAGACTTGTTGGCCTAAAACCTGTCAAACTTATTTCTCATGAACATTTCTATCACAAGCTGCAGTCGCATGTTGGTGAAGTGACTCTTTTAAACCTGTCCAGTCCTTCTGGACTTACCTGGTCTCACCTCGTGTGTTATATTCCTACCTGTGATCAAACCTCTCTGTAACACATCTGCCTTTAAGTCCCGTCCTGTGTTCGAGTCCATCTTGAGATAAGCCTTGAAGCAGAGTGACATCTTAGCTCCCATACAGGAGCTGTTATGAGTCCAAAGGGACACCTAATAACATCTTAGTATCTGTGTTTCCTGGTTGGGAATCCAGCTGCTGCAGACGGATGATTATACTGTTTATTTTATTTGGATGTTCATGTTGCCTCATATATCTGCTAGTTGCTGTGTGGCTGTGTTAACAAAGGCTCAGCTGTCGTCTCCCTCTGCCTGAACACAACCCTCAGACGGCGCAGTGCACACTTAAAGCTCTAAGGTGTAATTAATGACACAGGAAATGTGTTTAATATTAGCTAACACATGCACATTTGATCTGAAGTGGGTCAGCAGGCTGATATGAAGCAAAGCGCTCATTCCACGGTGCACAGTGCTGCCTCAGCGTGGACAGCCTCCACAGCCGCTGTGTCACCTCAGTCTGGTCACGTTTGACGGAGACACAGACAGATGGATGTCCCCACAGTGAAGCATCCTCCAGTCTGGACATCAAATGAAAACGCATGCACCCCCTGCTGAGCCAAACCAGCGAATGCACAACAGCGTTGGAGTAACGAGCAAATAGAAAACAATAACCGGACGGCAGTCAGCAGAAGCTTGCACGTACCGAGCACCACCGATACAATCGTAGACATCAGGAGCCAGTTCCTCTTCAGCACGGCTTTGATGTTCAGCACCCGCCGCTGCTTGTTGCCCATCATATCCATGCTGCTGCTTTGTGTTTGATTGTTCTGGAAGAAACAGCGATGCTCGGCTGCAGACACAAACCACTCCTCTAAATGTCAGCTGGAGGAATAGCAGGACGGACGCGCAGCTGAAGGATGCAGCCGTCAGACGCTGCTGATGCTGTGAGAGAGGGTGGTGTGATACAGGCGGAGAGGGGGTACGCGCTCTCCCTCCATCACCCTTCCCCCATTTGTTCTTCTTTTCACGCGAGTGCCGGCTAGATTAAAGCCCCTAATGTGGACACGGTGCACCCAGAGCAGGGATTTTACTGCACAGCTGCAGAGAGATGTTTAAAAACACTCTGCAGGAGGCTTGGCTGTGGCGGGTAATTATTAGTTACACGGCACAGACGCCCCCAGCTTAAACATGTAAATTACAAATACACGGCTGATCACAAACACGGACACAGATGTGACGCTTCAAGTTCAGCGCCACCTTCCGTCGGTGCGGAACCTGGCGTCACGTGATTGAGTGGTTAGTTTACGTTTGTTAACTAGTCACGGGGTCATAACTCAGAGCCCACGAGGACTGTGGGGGAGCCTGTCCTGTCAGGAACTCGTTTCTGCATCCTCGCTGTCTTTACGTACATCAGGCCTCAGCAGGGGCGGGGCCTTGTTTTGTGTTGTCAGGGGCAACACACACGTGATCAAAACACAAACGTGACCCCCGTAAACAGAGTTTACGTCTTTATATTTCCGAGTTATCGATTCCGTCACTAGTGAGCGAACGAGCCACTGCACGGCTGTTAGCCAACCACGTGACGTCAGGTCCGCGCAGACGCCAGATGTTGTTCAACCTTTAAGCACGTATTTGTTTAACCCGGGTTAACATGGCTGGTTCGGGTTAGGGGCAGATGTTCACAGACAGTTGCATCCGTGTGCGTTGCTGAGAGCAGGGCTCCGTGACGTAAACTGTCATTTTGTGAAGAACAACCCTCAGTGTGCGCTGATGTGTCACGTGTCTGCGGCCTGTTGTGACTCTACTAACGGCTCAGTCGCCTTCACCTACGGGCCTGGAAAGACACCGGCATCTTAAAACTTTGTTTTAAAACAAACAGCAAACAGTTTCACAAGTCTTTGATCATACTCAGAGACAGCTGCTCTGCTTTTGCTTCTCACTCTTTATGATTGATCTTTCATGTGATAGCAGCACGTTTACACACAGCACATCAAACAAAGTGTTAACCATTCCTCGCCGTCAGTCCCCTGACCAGGGCCGAAGTTTGTCCTTCTTCGGGGTTAACTCCCTTCACTTTTGTGGAGTAGTGAGGCAGACAGAAATCAGCCGAGGCACCGGAGAGTACTGAAGAGACGAGGCTTTAATAACAGTACTGCACACTTCGGAAACACACTGCATAGCCTGTAGCCCGTTAGAGCGCTGCTCCCGGTCGCCCTCTCTACCCACGACACACTCTCTCACTCTCCTTTTCCTCTTTCGCTCCCCGCGTTTCCTTCACGCGCATGCTCACACACACATCACATGCACTCCTTACTGCACCCAGTCACACACAAGACAGCAATTCCCGCAACAAAAGTATTGAGAACCAGCTCGATTGGTCCCTTTTTCCCATCACTACAAAATACTGACCTTGCAAGTCCATTATGTGAGTATGCTGCCATCTACTGTCACCAACTCACTCAGTTCATATTCACACTCTCAGCCACTTTAACAGGCTCAAGTGTTTTTGAGCAGGTGTGTATATATCTATATCTATATTGTAAGGAAGTGGACTCCCTTATCATTTGTATTATAACAGCACTTTAGGAGCATCCTGGCACTTTATTAAAAGCACTGTAACTAGCACTTTGTTTAGCGTCACACTTTAAGCATAGAGTTGCACATCAATAACATTTGCACACAAGATGATTAATTGTTGTGGTTTAAAATGTTTGTATATATTTATTTAGTAAAATGGTTTAGTCCAGGGGTGTCGAACTCCAGATGTGTCCTTGATCCATCACAGCTGATTTAAAAGCCTAAATGACCTCCTCAACATGTCTTGGAGTTCTCCAGAGGTAATGGTAATGAACTCATCATTGAAAATACAGGGTGACGTCACAGAATAGATGTGGTAAACTGAAAAGAGAGGGCGGAGCCTGTAATCTCATATAGGCAAGGCAAAACGCCTTTAGAAGAGCATATATAGCTATGAACAGAAGTTCAAACCCTTCAACAAAGTGACTGTAAATTCTCAACTAAGAAATACAAATTCAAACATAAAGATAACACAGCCACGAGTCATCTGATAAATGCCACAGCAAACACTGTGAGGCTGAACGTTCCTGAACGTTGCAAAAACTACATTACTAAAGAACAGTGGCAGAAATTTCAGGCAGCTCACCCAGATCTATACCCTCTATAGATTCAATATGCACACACACCCGTTCTCTGCTAGCCATCGGGGCGGGGGGGCTGGGAGGAGATGTTGGCTGTCCGATTGGCCTCCCTGCTGCTGCGGACCCTGGGACGGTCTGCTTGCCTCCACCCCGGGGGGAAGGGTAACATCTCTTGGGTCTGGGTGCTGTTTCCCCCTCTGGGGGCGAGGGTATGTTTGGGGAGTGTGATTGTGTGTACATGTCCATTTATGTCAATCCTTACGTTGGGTGAGTGCTGAGTGTTTGTATATGTGTGCATGAGGGTGGGATGCATGTTTGTGTCTGTGTGTGCCTGTTTGTCTGTGTCTGTATGTCAGGTCGGGTCTTAGACTCCACCTCTCTGGGAACTCTCAGGCCCTCCAAGGCCTGTCTCCCCTCACCACACTCCCTGCCGGTGACTGATGCCCTCAGGGGTTGGTGCGTTGGTGGTTCTTGGTGTCCAGGGCTGGGCGCTCAGGTATTTACCGGCTCACTCCCGGTGGCTACCTGGCGGGCCTGGCGCCTGTTGCTCGGTCAGGCCTCTTCCGGGGTGCAGGGGGCCCTCCAGCCTCTGGGCCTGCGGCTCGGTTCACTCTGGCACAGCTGACTGCCGGCAGAGCCGGCGGGCACGCCACTGCAGCCCCCTCTAGCTTCTGCTCAGTGGCTACTGGGTGACGCCTCGTCTGGGGATCCTCAGCCCTTCCCATGAGGGTGGCACGGATGCCCCTCTGGTGGTCCTCCTTGGGCTCTCGCACTCTAGGGCCTCTGGATGTCTGGGGCCTGTATCTCCTCCATGCCTGCTTCATGCCCTGGGGGACGGGGCTATGGCTCGCTACACCCTCTCAGACCATTACATGTGGAAACCATTTGAATACAAGCGCGCTGATCCACAGGTGTGCACACGGGTGTTCACTGCTCGTAGACTTAAATTACACCTTTCTTGGCTGCTACTTCGAAGCACATTGTGCGCTGTCGGTCCTGCGTGCTGCACAACAACATTGAATATTCAGTATTTACTGCTGTTTACACTTAGCTAGATTAATGTGATGGCGTTGTGTTTAGTATGTTGCTTTGGTTTTGTTTGTTTTTTGCTTGTTTTCTATTCTTCTTCTCTCAACAGGTGATCCAGGAGATTTTTCTTTCTCCCCCCCCTCTCTCACTGTCCCTCTCCCCTTCTGTTTTTCTTTTCCTTCCTCTTCCTCTCTCCCTTTCCTATCCCTCACTCATGTCTGTCCCGTCTGTAACAACTGAAAATAAAATATAATAAATAATAAAAACAAAGGTCGATCAAATGGACCAATACGACAATGCTACGATGATCCATTTGGCAAAGTAAATCCATTGGGTATCCTTGTTGGTCCTCAGACAACAATTCTGACGGCTAAAGAACCAAATGGGACAGGCCAAAAAAAAAATAGATTCAATATGCAACATGTTGGACCTGTGCTCGGATTTGGCAGGTGTAGCACTGAGGCCTGCCCAGGAAACAACCCCCCATAAACCAGTGGCCCTCCCTGCTAAAACCTGTCACTGCAAGGGACATATGCCCCGAAAATATAACAACATGAGGAAATTACCTTGCTTTAACGATTGGAGCCTGATTCCCATAAATATCCACCCAAAAGCAAAAGAAGACAACAAGACTGCCTCGAGTAATCCAGACCCTGTCAGCAGTGATGACACAGCAACCTCTACAGAAGTCACAGCACAAAACATCAAAAATGGGGGATCAGTCATTGTGAACAAAGGGTTAACCAATTTAATATCTATCAACTAGAACTGCAAAAATACTGATTTTTGGTGGGAAACTGTCTGGAAGAACTTGCTATGCGGGTTGTAAAAAAGTCAGGCCAGGTTATTAGTCAGGACAGTTTCTGCCATCACCAACAACCCAAATCTGTGCTGAACTCACGATGAATCTTATAAAATCACCTTAGAGAAGTTCAAAAACTCCCACAAGGGGATTTTCAAAGCCCTCTGTAAAAGGTGGAAACATGCAAAAAGAATTCTGGAATTCATGGAATTGGATTGTCCAGACCACAGCATCACAATCGTAACATTTTCATAGACGAGGCAGCCAAACCATCTAAAAAGTCCCATACCTTGTTTTTTCGCATTTACAGGCCGAATGTTCACCAGGAAACGAAATAAGGTTTCTGTAATGTAGGGAGATCTTGATATAGACTCAAAACATGTTTATAAAACTAATTAGAGACTTTAAATTGGCTGGTTATAAATCATAATAGCTCTTTAATCGAGTCATTTCTGAAAACCATGACAGGTTGCAGCAGATGGCCCCGCCCCTCCCTGGTTCTGCTGAAGGTTTGTTCCTGTCAAAAGAGTTTTTCCTTCCCACTGTCGCCATGTGCTCGCTCAGAGGGGTTCGTCTGTTGGGTTTTCTTTTAATACTGAGGCAACAAACTCACAGTAATACATAAAGTTGTTACCTTACAGTATGAAGCGCCTTAAAAAGACCATCATTTCATTTCCTTTGGCGTGATACAGTTTGAAGTGAATTGAACTACCAACATAACTGATTCAGCACTTCAAGTTAAAATCAATAGAAAAAGGAAGATTTTTCGCCTGATTTCTGTTCGTTTTTATTTCTTGTGTGTTGAATTTGTGCTATTTAACCTACTTCCTGTTTCCTGCTAACGTGTAACCTTTTTTGAACTCTTTAAACACACTAAACATGGCAGAATACATACACAGATACATTTAATAAAGGAGAATGTGACAGTTTGTTTCAAAACACACTCTCATTTATGTGTTAATGTTTTTTAAAAAAAGAGGGAAAAGAAACGAGCCATGTCATGTTTGGGCTGTGTGCAGGCAGGAGAAAAACGCAAAAACAAAACTCACCACACAGGAATTAAACTCAAAAAGCTGCTTTATTGCAGAACGGCAGAAAAACATCAAACTAAACTGGGACACAGGGAAACACAGCCATGAGGGAGACTACGACACTGACAAAGAGAAACACAGGGCTTAAATACAGGGATGAGACACAGAAGGAGAGCACAGCTGGGCGTGATCAGGCTGGACGAGACGAGGGAAGCAAAACTAGACTGAACTACCTTCAAAGTAAAACAGGAAACACACTGACTGAACTATAGACATGCAAACTGAGCAGCAACTGGGGAGACAGAACATAGGAAGCTGAAACATGGGACAGAAAGGCGCAGTAGACACAGCATGGAACACAGGGAAGCCACATTATAAAACCTAAGAACTAAACCTGTGATAACCAGAACTGAAACCACAGGGAAATAACAAACACAGTACAAAGGACTCAAAACATAAACCATCAGAAAGACCCAGAACTGTGAGAAGCCAGCAGAGTTTATTACTGT